CATGGTTAAGTGGGACCCCAACATTCCACCGTATGCGGAACAGTGGCAAAAAGGCCCTAAGCACTGGTCACCGCTGATCATTTCCATTCATGTTAAAGGGCTCTATTTTTGTGCCGGCCGATGGAGCAGTGGACAGCGGCGTACCCCGTGCAGTGAAATTTTCGTCTGGCGGAGCCCGGCACATGGAAAGTGCATCGGTGGCATCGGTGACGCATGCGGCGTAGTGGGCATACGTCACCGATGCCTCACTGGCAGGTTTCCACAGTGTCAGGCACATTTCAGTGCAATAAATACTCAACAACAACCAATATTTAGTGCAACTTTCTGAGTCAGCACATATACATTTAGATCTATATCGATATATTCGGATCTGTATCTTATCTGATGAGCGCATTTGGCATGTGTTTGGACACACAACCTGACCGAATCAACACAGGTGAAACCACATTAAATTAAATATCCAGTAAATAGTCACACAGTTAACAAGATATTTAATCCGTCTCCCCCCTTTTTCTTCTTCTTTCACACGCAGCTCGACCCAGACATATCTCCGTGTCCTCTCCCCGTCCTGCTGCTGCGGCTGAACAGATGATTTATTTTAGTGATCAGATGAGTTATTTACTTTGAAAATTTGAACAAAAAAACAAAAGAAACTTTCGTTCAAAATTACCTGTTTATCTGATATTCTCACATCCTTAAAATTCTGTGGATATTCAATCTGGAGTCAGGCCTACATACCAACTGTCATGATGCTGTTTCTGCCATGTTTTGTGAAGGCATGTTCTGACCTCTCTCTCCCTGCAGGAGGTGTGACGAGGGGCAGGTCGATCTCTGGGAGCAGAGCTTCCAGCACACCTGCAGCTTGTTCTGCCTAAATTACCTGGCTTTTTAAGCCGCTCTCTCCCAGTCTCCTGTGCCGGATTGTTCCCTTTGCTTCTGCACCATGCGCTAGCTCTCAATGATCCCCTGCCTTGCGCCATGTGTGGTTCTCAGCATCTTCCTCGAGTTTAGTGCAAGTTTTTTCAGTGCCTTGGCACTGTTTTTTGTCGTAACTTTGAGATTGTCGATTTTTCCTGGTATATGGTGATTTTCTGTTGTTACTCTTGTGTTGATACTTTTCCTCCTAGCGAGCGTTTTCAGTTGTTAAGTTGTTTGAGCTTTTTTTTTGTGAACTTTTTATGGTGTCCTTTTGTCAATAAAACCTTTTGTTTGAACTCTGCAACTGGGTCCTGGTTTCCTTGACTGGCACATTACACAAATATTATAATATTCTGTTGCGTGAGCCAAGTTAATTTTATATGCCAACATAAATGAAAGAAAGAGCCAGGCCACGGAGCACGATGTGTCCTTTACGCACAGGTGGTTCCAATTTTACTGCCATTATTGGAATTTGTTTATGTTGTGATCTGTGCGCACAACCCAACTTTGTCACGTGGGGTTTAAATATATGCAACTTTATGTGATTGTTTTTATTTGTGGAAAAGGTTGTTTGTCTTACCAGTGGGTCCAACCTTACACACACAAAAAACATCTGTGCTTATAGTGCTGCTTGGCGACGCCATTGTGTGGCATTGCTGTCTTCAGCAATCTCTTGATCTCCTCAACTACTTCACAAAAATTGTAATACGCCTCACCAGTGGCAAATTTACAGGTGAGAAGAGGAGCTGTGATTGGTGAAAACAGGTCTCGGCTGTGCTAAACCCACTCCAGGCCTTCTCTCCTTCCTCTCTACTACAAGACCCAATTCCATTGAAGTTGGGAAATTGTGATAAACTTAAATAAAAACAGACTACAATGATTTGCAAATCCTTTTCAACCTGTATTTAATTGAATACACTACAAAGACAAGATATTTAATGATCAAACTCATAAACATGACAAAGAAGTTGGGGAAGGTGGCAAAAAATACTGAGAAATTTGAGGAATGCTCATCAAACACCTATTTGGAACACCCACAGGTGAGCAGGCTAATTGGGAACAGGTGGGTGCCATGATTGGGTATAAAAGCAGCTTCCCCCCAAATTCTCAGTCATTCACAAGCAAGGATGGTGCGAGGTTCACCACTTTGTGAACAACTGCGTGAGCAAATAGTCGAACAGTTTAAGAACAACATTTCTCAAAGTACAATTGTAAGGAATTTAGAGATTTCAACATCTACGGTCCATAATATCATCAAAAGTTTCAAAGAATCTGGAGAAATCACTGCACGTAAGCGGCACAGCTGGAAACCAACATTGAATGCCCATGACCTTTGATCCCTCAGGTGGCACTGTTTCAAAAACGAACATCAATGTGTAAAGGACATCACCACATTGGCTCAGGAACACTTCAGAAAACCCCTTTCAGTAAATAAAGTTTGTTGCTACATCTGTAAGTGCAAGTTAAAACTCTACTATGCAAAGCGAAAGCCATTTATCAACAACATCCAGAAACACCGCCGGCTTCTCTGGGCCCAAGCTCATCTAAGATGGACTGATGCAAAGTTTAAAAGTGTTCTGTGTTCTGATGAGTCCACATTTCAAATTGTTTTTGGAAATAGTGGACGTTGTGTCCTCTGGGCCAAAGAGGAAAAGAACCATCCGGACTGTCGACGCAAAGTTCAAAAGCCAGCCTCTCTGATGGTATGGGAGTGCATTAGTGCCCAAGGCATAAGTAACTTACACATCTGTGAAGGCAACATTAAAGGGGACCTGCCATCAAAATGTAATTTTCTGTGTTTTTTGTGTCAGATAAGGTCCATATTATGTTCGTCTTATGTTGTAAATGTGAAAACAAACCGTTACGTCGTTTGCATTCTGTAAAGGTTTAAAATAAAGGAACGAGTAAACCAGGCCAATTGAAAAAGCAGGTCCATCTGACATTGCGTTGACATTGCTCATTATTATTCACGAGCGCGTCCTCGGTGAGCCGTGCCCACTCTCTCGTTCTCGTACTCAGTCACAGCCAGAGCGAGACCAAGCTACCACTGTATCCGCTATGGGTCTCTTCCAAACGACCAGTGTTTCCTTGGGTTCACTGCCGGGAAAATGAACTTAAAGCTGGGCAGAATGAATGAGAAAACACCGCTGGAGATCTCCGGCTTCTTCTTCAACTTCCACCTCCTCTTCAGACTCGGGGTCTAAAATATATGGTTTAATACCTGCCATTTTTAGCCTGTAGCATAAGGTGACCAGACGTCCCCGATTTCCGGGGACAGTCCCCGTATTGGATGACCTGTCCCCGGCAAAAGCTGTCCCCGAAAATGTCCCCGATTTAAGCGTTTCATGAATGAGAGCAAAAAATTTGCGCGTGGGCTGGAACAACGGTTATTACAGTAGCCGAATAGGTAGGAAGCACAAGTAAGCAGTCCTGAACAACAGTTCTTACGGGGGTTATTACAAGGGGCATGCGCTGCTACTAAATAGTACTGAGATTTTGTCTGTGATCACACAGCCCCTGCAGCCCCTGCACCCGCCGCACCGAATATCCCCGGATATCATTACAGACATCTGGGCACCTTACTTCAGCACACATTAGCAAAATTGATAAACCGAAATCTGAACCTCCACTGCTGAGCCAATCAGAGCACAGCAGGCTTCACAGCAGCGATCCAATCAAAGCAAAGCTCATTACCATAAATGTTAATGAGCCAAAATCAGTTGGTTTTCCTGTAAGGTATTTTAGGCATACTAAAACAAACCATCAAATAACTTTTCAGCTAAAATTATGTTGCAAACATGATCAGAGGACATCAAGGATTATGAAAAAATGATAAAAATGGGTATGAAATTTTGGTGGCAGATCCCCTTTAATGCTGAAAGGTACATACAGGTTTTGGAGCAACATATGTTGCCATCCAAGCAACGTCTTTTTCATGACGCCCCTGCTTATTTCATCAAGACAATGCCAAGCCACATTCTGCACGTGTTACAACAGCTTGTCTTGGTAGTAAAAGAGTGCGGGTACTCGACTGGCCTGCTTGCAGTCCAGACCTGTCTCCCACTGAAAATGTGTGGCACATTATGAAGCGTAAAATACAACAACGGAGACCCTGGACTGTTGAACAACTGAAGCTATACATCAAGCAAGAATGGGAAAGAATTCCACCTTCAAAGCTTCAACAATTAGTCTCCTCAGTTCCCAAATGTTTATTGAGTGTTGTTAAAAGGAAAGGTGATGTAACACAGAGGTAAACATGCCCCTGTCCCAACTACTTTGGCACGTGTTGCAGCCATGAAATTCTGAGTAAATTCTTATTTGAAAAAAAAAAAAATGCAAATCACTGAATTCTGTTTTTATTTACATTCACCACAATTTCCCTACTTTCCCAAATGGAAATTGGCTTCGTACTAAAGCTGCTGGGAGGAGCTGAGTTAGGGAGAGGGGATACTTACACTCGGCTGCGTCACCAAAATACCAAAATGCCCTTGGGCATGCCTTGTTGGCTTGCTGGACCTGACTTACACCACGCCTGCGTCACACCACTGGCGAGGTACAAAAATAGAGCCCAAAGTGTCAAATTCCACCGGCTTCTTTCAGGCCTCCTGTGGTATAGTGGGCTTCATAGCTGATTGCCAGGGTTATATTTTTTTCCGGACGCTGCAGCATGCCACATAAATACAGCACAGATTAGCCCGTGCTAGGAAAGAAGTCGGGCACAGACACAAAATAAAACATCCTGCTTCTTTTCAAAATAAAATACTACGTGTTTCAGTGTTTCACACCATGCAAACATAGTTTGTTTCGTAGATAAAAATAAATATTGCACTTACCCATGGTTAGTTCCCAATTTCCGCAAAAGTGTCTGATCTACTGGTCTGGACAGAGTGGATTCCTTCTCTGGAAGGACATAATGTACTGCTTATATGGATATGTGGCTGTCTTTATAGAGATGACTTTCCTACAAGCATTGCAATCCACTTCCCCACACACTTATTCATCGTCCTCTCTACTTCACAAAGACATTCGTGTTTGAGAGCTGAATAGCTCCTCTGTAACCTGCTTCTTCTACTACAATGTTAGGCTGCAAGCTAGCGTGAGGAGGAGGGTGCAGAGCAGCACTGTCTCCGCCCACGACTTAGAGGCGAATTGCTAATAAGTTAGTGGAAAAGCCCTTGAAAATGACTCAGGTAATGCGATTTTGGCTAAAAACTCTATAATCACAATTTAATGACCACTTGGAACACTTTAAGGAGTAAAAAAAATAAATAAATAGACTCATTCACACCACATTCATAATGGTAGAGGCAGCTAAAGCACAGACCAGTCCTAATCCCATCCACACACCACTTGCACAGCCACAGAAGGGGTTTTTAGGGTTAACTCTACAGCAAATCAAGCACCAAACTTCTAACTAAACAACAACTGACCACCCAATTCTCTTTGAATCAACATTTTGTGTCAGCTTGTCTGTGGCTTTAGCCAGTAGTGGTAATAAGCAACTACTTGGCGAGGGGACCCTGCTCTGAATATTGGTATTCAAATTTGCTTATCCTGACAGAGTTCACATGTCTGTCTGTCTGTCGTTATTTGCCAGTGAAGAGACGGCTGAGCAAAAGAGTGACTAAAGCATGCAATGTCAGCAGTTTAAAGGGCATATCACTGGTCTGGTGAATGAGCTCAGCCTGACGAAAATGCTCTTTCTCCACCAGTCAATCTATTTTCCAATACTTACCTCTGGTCACAGGTTGTTACCGAATGACAGGCACAAGTGGTCATAAAGTGAATTTTCTTCCTAAGATGGGTGTTACTAACCTTTAGAAAATGGCAAGAAGCTCCATCAAAAAGAAGCTTGGGGTAGATGTGCTTTTCAGTCATATTAAAAGAGCCAATGCAGCACATGGAGTGCAGCGATCTGACAGCGGACCCTGCTGGATACCTCTGGTTTGGATGTTGATACTGTACTGGGATGAGATCCTTCCATCAATAAGGGGTTATAAAGTCATAACTCCATTAAATCCCACAGGAGGAGATATGAGACATGACTGAACAAATGGATGCCCTTCAACCTGAACCTGTTAGGTCAACAAGAAAGGCACTTCTTGATGGTTATGTAATGGTGGTGGTGATGGTGGGAGGGTGCAACAATTGATTAGAGGTTTTATGTTACAATGTCTTAGAATCCCTTTTGGCAGATGAAAGTGTGCATACCCACAACTTCAACACAGTAAAACATTCAACTTTAGTGTCAAAACCAGCTCGTCATCACACTTCTACCAACATGGACAGAGGAGCTCTCGTGTCTGCCGTGTTCATTTAGTGAACAGTCCACCATTTGAAAATGGCCTCTTTCACATCTTCAACAGGAGGAGAGATGTTAGGGATGAAGACAGAATGGTGCAGAGATGGCAGTGACAGACATAGGGGACTGAGGGAGGCATGAATTAGGGGATGATAAAAATTAAGATTAATGATTTGTGGAGATGTATAGGGGAATAGGGCTGTGGCGAGTTGAAGATAGGAATGCTGCTATAAAAGAGCAGGGGACTAACAATTACGGGGGTAGGAAGGAGAAATGGTTCCAGGAGATTGTTCCTTTGCATTCAAAGCTTTCGGGAAAGAAAATTAGGGGCTACAAAGGGGAGTTAGAAAAAAAAGGAAAAAAAAAAACATAGAGAATAAATTTCATGTGAGTTGTGGTTAAAAACAGCAACCCAGCACAACAAAGAGTACACTACTTTCAGTATTCAAGCTGAATTGATTTATTTTTGCATTTTATTTATTGTGTAGTATGTATATCCCCATTTTACTTAGTTGTGACCATAGACTTTATCTAGAATGGACGTTATCTGCCTCCTTGCTGTGTGAAGCCTCTACGAGAACAGCACCCCCTGGTGACTGGTTGCAGTACAGGTCATATATATTGCCTCCCCCAGTAAAATGAATAGAGCTGTGGACAAACTTTAGAAATTTATTACACATAATATAATTTTTTCTCCTCCTGGTTGCGATGTTGACTTGTAGTTATTGTAAGACTGGTTTATGCTCAAGTCCTCTTTTTTCTGTGCAGCTCCATTTTTAAAAGTTATAAGGGGTTCAAATGTTAATTTTAGGAAGTGGAGAAAATCCCAGTAATACCAAGAGCAGTTTGGCTTCAAATACATACAATGACAGAAGGCAAAGCAATGTTGTCTTTACTATATTCAGTCTATGATTATGCCATTTCTATAGTATAGAAACTATATAGAATATAGTTGAAAAAGGATTTGCAAATGATTGTATTCTGTTTTTATTTACATTAAACATCTCAACTTCACTGGAATTGGACTTTGTATGTAATTTTTCTTATTCACTTGTTTCCAGTCTACTTAAAGCATATTAGCAGTTATGTTACAGCAAAGTAAAACAACACCACCCTGTTAAACACAACCATGACGACAGCTCCACACAGTCCAGGACTTTTCTCTTCTCTTATCTCTTCACTACCCTCACCAATGTTTCCTTTTGTCCTTTTATTTATATAATATATGGAAATAAACAAAATGTTGGTATTATTTTGTCTGCAAATCATTTAGATGTCTGCTGGTCATAGCTAATAGTATATGCTAACACCAATATTCATTGTAAAACTGAAAATTGTAGGTCAACAGCCCATCTTACTTGAAGAGTGGGGCCTCAAAGGGCTTCCTGCAACCCACCTGATACCTGTGGAGTTTTTTGGGCCAGACCCACCATATTTTGTGAAATAAAATTATCATTAAGTGGAAATGCTGACACAGCATTTTCACTTATTGTTATTTACATTTCCATTACCATGTAAGAAAAAAGGTGTACTAATTATTTGATTAATTTCTCAGTGAATATTGTTCAGTGGTCATCATTTCAACGCTGCTGGGCCTGGGTGGAGGTTGACTGAACATGTCAGTTATTTTATAACATTTTGCCCCTTCCTCCTCGAGAGACCTTTTTTTCTTCTCCATTTCCCTCATGTCCACCTTTTCTCTTCGTTTTTTCTCCTCTTTTGCTGCCGGGTTTAAAAGGATGATCCATTGTTATTGATGTAATATTCTTGTATTTCCAGCGCTCCCTCTCTCTCTCTCGCCCCCCTCTCTCGCCTTGCTCTCGTATCATCCCAGCTCGGCGCTCTGTTTGTTTTCCTGTTTATGCTGTGAAGGGGTGGGCCACGAATCATCACACCACACCACCGTTTAACGGAGATCTGATATAAAATAACAGAGGAAACATGACCTCAAAAAGTATAAAACGTCCTGACCACTGTCCACCACACATCTGAGCAGAGACATAACTGATCAAACCTTGAGGAAAAATCTCTTACCTTCACTCTGAAGTCTGAACTAGTCAGCATTATCAGTTATCCAGCTCTTGCAGTTTAATAATCCATTGATCCATCAATCAATTGATCCTGACGCTTCATAGCCGCTAGCCAGGGTTGGAGAATCACCGGCCGTTTCGGCAGCAAATGATGAAAATGCAATGTTTTTTTATTTCTTACGATGTAAAATTGGTTGGAGCAGTCTGGCGCAAGACAAAATATCCCTTCTCTAGTGAGTTTACTCGTCTTTGGCTCTTGATTCGCCATTTCAGCCATCCTAATCTGCTCTCATTCAATTGTCAATACGCGGGCTACACAACCGATTATGTCACATGAAGTGGCACTGCTTTACGGTTCGCCGCAGTGTCGCTAAAGTGGAACTTCTGTCACAGTTTTCTAGAAATGTATTACATTTTGAGAGTCATGAATACAGTGATTTTTGAAGTCGAGAGGCATTCTTAAAAATAATGATAATTTGGGTCAGTATGTCATGTCCTCTTTAATCATCTAAGTTACAGACATGAACTGTTTTCAAATTACTTTGTTCTTTCAAACAGCAAAACTTGGCAAAAGTACTAAATGTCTTATGTCCCATGTTTTTATTCTGTTGGGTCACAGTGGAGCAGTTTCGCTCAGACCAGTCCAGCAGTTTAACTCAATTGGGTCAGACTGGACTTCAAATGACAGGCCAGACTGTAAAAGGCAGCATCAGCACAGACAAGCTTCAGTACATGGCTGCAGTGTTGATTGTCATGTCTAAATCTTTGCATCGAAAGAGAAACAAAGGGACCAGTGGTGCAGTTTCTTTGACCTCTGCATTATTTAATGACAATAATAATAATAATAATAATACATTTTATTTGTTAAGCGCTTTTCAAAGACTCAAAGACGCTGTACATAGCTAAAATCATATATCAGTATACAATAAAAATACATCAATATACAATAAAATACATCAATATCAATTAAAATCAAGTAAAATCAGGTAAAATCAACAATCAAGGGGGGGGCTAAGGAAGATGAAAAGCAGTGCGGAAAAGGTGAGTTTTGAGCTGGGTTTTGAATTTGGTAAGGTTGGAGCAATTTCTGAGGTCCAGTGGGAGTGAGTTCCATAGGGTGGGGGCAGTGACTGAGAAGGCTCTGTCCCCCCAGGTTCGGTGCTTGGTCGAGGGTACTGTGAGGAGGTTGGCATCGGCGGAGCGGAGGGTGCGGGGGGGGATGTAGGGGTGGAGAAGATCTTGCAGGTAGGGGGGGGCCTGGTTGTGGAGTGCTTTGTGAGTGAGAAGGAGGATTTTGTACTGAATGCGATGGGGGATGGGGAGCCAGTGTAGGTTCTGGAGGACGGGGGTGATGTGTTGGTGGGAGCGTGTATGGGTGAGGAGGCGGGCGGCAGAGTTCTGGATGAGCTGAAGTTTATTGAGGAGAGTGGAGGTAGTGCCGTGGAGGAGACTGTTGCAGTAGTCTAGACGGGATGAGATGAATGCATGTATAAGGGTTTCGGCTGCAGAGTAGGAGAGGGAGGGGCGGAGGCGGGCAATGTTTTTGAGGTGGTAGTAGGCTGTTTTGGAGATGTGCTTAACATGTTGTGTGAAGGTGAGGTTGCTGTCAAAGAGAATTCCAAGGTTGCGACAGTGGGGGAGTTTGGTACAAAGCTAAAGAAGTGTGAAATTCATCTACTCTTTGTGAGCTGTCAAGGAATTAAAGAAGGGACATAATCTACTTTTCCCAGATTCTATACTTCCTTTCTAATTCCACTTTGATATCTTTACATGATTTTACAGATAAAAAAAGGTCTTGAAATATCATTAATTCAGCCTCTGTCTGAAACACTTCATTTGCTTTGCCAGAAGCTCAAATGAACCAGTGAAGAGAGTCTTTAACACTGACCCAGTCATGTTCGTAAGCCTCATGTTTCTTCGCAAGGGCTCATTTTGAAGAGTTTACATCTATTTTTTAGTATTATGACAAAATACATTTACTTTGTGATTTTAAAACTTTCCATACAACTAGTGGGGACACCAAACTTTGTAACATTACAGTTTTTGTTTTAAATGTGGAAAAGCATCATACCACCCCTTTAACATTACATCTTTCATCATCAACTACTCCAAAGCAGTTCAAATTTGCTCTACTTTGGCAGTGTAATATTCTCTGTGTACCAAAAAAGGGAATTTGGTGCACAGGACTAGAGGGGGAATCAACCTACCCACACCAAGTTGATTAATTTGGTGCATGACAGTCAGATGGGATGTGCAACTCTAATCCCATAAACCTCTCATCAAATCCAGGGAATGACTCTCCATTGTCTGCTTGCTGTTGCTTCAGAGTGTGCACTGAAAAACTGTGTGGTAATGGAACTCAGGCCCAGCCCTGGTAAACAAGCAACAATTAAACTGTTCAGCTGAGCACCAATACACATTGTAGTTAATAAGCAGCAAGTAGCACTTATACTCTGGACTCCAACCTTCTTCTCTGTCTGAACTCTGTGTTGCCCCACATCTTAACCGCAGTGTCATTGTCCCTCTGAAGAGTATTCTCCCATGAGTCACAGGTTAAGAGTCATCACCATGGATATGTAGAGCAATTATTCTGAAGCTGGGGCCCTGCAGAGACTTTGGTCTTTATGCAAAAATATCACCACCTCACTACCTAAAACCACAATAATGAACTGTCCTAATTAACCATAATAATAAACCACTGTGAACTGTTCTACCAGAGACAACAAAACCCTGGATCTGCTGTATGTCAACGTCAAAGAAGCCGACAGAGCCACTGCCTTACCACCACTGGGCAAGTCAGATCATAACTTGGTCTATCTGCAAACCTGTTACAGACCTTGTGTGCTGAGGCAGCCTGTGACCAAAGTCAAAATCAGAAGATGGACACCTCAAGCTAGCGAAGCTCTAAGGGACTGTTTTAAATCAACAGACTGGAATGTGCTGCTGGAAACAGATGTTGATAGTATGAATATTGACAAACAGGTTGACTGCTTTACAGAATATGTCAACTTCTGTAGAGACACAGTTATACCCACAAAGACTGTTTGCTGTTTCCCCAACAACAAACCCCGAATCACAAGTGACATAAAAGCAATCCTTAACAAGAAAAAGAAAGCTTTTAAAGATGGTGACAAAAAACGACTCAAACAAGTGCAACAAGAGTTGAAGAGGAGACTGAAGATGGTTGAGCTGGAGTACAAAAAGAAGATAGAGAAGAATCTACAACATAGCAACATCCGTGAAGTGTGGAGAGGAATCAGTAACATCTCTGGACACAGCAATAAAAAGAAAAGACAGCCAGTGGTGGGTGATCTGGAAAGAGCAGATGAACTCAACCTGTTCTTTAACAGATTTGACACTGCTGTCACACCCACTTCCACAACTTCTCCCCTTCCTCCTCCATCTCATTCCGATGTCTCAACCATTTCAACTACCTCCTTCCTAGACCGCCAGTCCTTGTCTGTCACCGAAACAGGGGTGAGGATGGAGCTTGGAAGACTTTGTCCTGGGAAGGAAGCTGGTCCAGATGGTGTGTGTCCAAGGCTGCTTAGAGACTGTGCTGCAGAACTGTGTCAACCTCTCCACAGGGTCTTCAACCTGAGTCTACAGCTGGGGTGGGTACCTGCTCTGTGGAAAACATCCTGCATTGTGCCAGTACCAAAAACAAAATGTCCCGCTGAGCTCAATGACTACAGACCAGTGTCACTTCACACATCATGAAAACCCTGGAGTGGCTGTTTTTACGCCTTCTGATAAACTCAATTTCCTGCAGTTTGCATACAAAGAACACATTGGAGTGGAAGATGCTGTCCTCTAAATGCTTCACTGTGCCCCGTCTCATCTGGAGGAACATGGGGTTTATGCAAGGATCATGTTTTTCGACTTTTCAAGTGCATTCAACTCCATCCAACCCACCATACTCAAAGACAAGCTCACAGAGATGGGAGCGGATCCTGCCTGTGTTTCCTGGATCGCAGATTACCTGACAGGAAGACCACCGTTTGTCAGGCTGGGGAACTGTGTTTCTCGGACATTAATGAGAAGTACAGGGGCTCCACAAGGGACAGTGCTGGCGCTATTCCTGTTCACACTGTATATGTCAGACTTCAAATACAGCACTGAGTCCTGCCACATCCAGAAATACTCAGATGACACCGCTATTGTGTATCAGAAATGGACAAGAAGCTGAATACAGAAATCTGATAAAAGCCCTCAGTGACTGGAGTCACAAAAACTGCCTCCTCCTCAACACCTCAAAGACCAAGGAGATGGTCATAGACCTCCGTAGATCCAAACCCCCTCTTCAGCCTGTGGAATGCACATCGAAGTGGTGACATTATATAAATACCTAGGTGTACAGTTGGATAATAAGTTGGACTGGTATAAGAATGTAGACTTCATCCACAGAAAGGGTCAGAGCTGCCTCTTTTGCCTGAGAAGACTCCGATCGATAGACATCTGGAGTAAGATGCTGCAGATGTTTTATCAGTCTGTGGTGTCTGTAGTGTTCTGTTCTACGCTGCAGTCTGCTGGGGAGGAAGCATCAAACACAAAGATGCAAGACGTCTGAACAAACTGGTGAAAAAGGCTGGCTCTGTGGTAGGACTTAAGCTGGACTTAGTGGAGGATGTGATGGAGAGATCGACATCGAGGAAGGTAGAGACTATTCTAAAGAACATGGATCACCCACTTCACAAAACCTTGATGGACCAAAGGGGCAAGGGTGGTGGACGGCTCCTCTCTCTTCGCTGCAGGACAGAGAGATTCAGAAGATCTTGTGTGCCCACACCTATCAGACTTTATAATTCTTGTGTAAATAGTAGATAACTTTTAGAGACATATCAATTGAGACAACAGACCATTGAATTTCCCTTTGGGGATTAATAAAGTTCTTCTTATTCTTATTCTTAATCTTAATCCTAAGAACATAACACTGTAGACACAGATGCATTAATCTGCATATAATTAAAGTCACTCTTTGATTATTTGATGCAAGACTGATACAAAATCAGGTGAAGGTTATTTCTACAGTTTAAATATAATCTTAATGAACTTTCCCAAAAGACAGTCCTTTCTGACTTCAAGCTCTTGTGAGGAGAGCTTGAAGCTCTTGCTGATCCCGACTGTCCCATCCTCAAACATTGTCTTTGTCATGAACTTCTCCTGCTGGCCTTTGACTTTTAAATGTAAAACTAGATGTGAATATTTGATGTAAGAATTGTAGAAATAGGGGTGTTGCCTTGGTGACTTGGCTGACACATTTTTTTGCACTTGCATTTGACGAAATACAATAATTAAATAATACTTAAGTAAATAGATAAAATTTAAGAAAAACAAACAACAACGTAAATATCAGGGTTAAAATAAAAATTAAGTCATGTGCAGAATCCTCATTCCATACGCATTCAAATGGAATAGACATGTCTGTTTTAGCCAGTGTTTGGTTGTAAACATGTATTGGGTTATGCTATAGATTGCTAAATACAGTCAATATTGCTGTCAGATATCGGCTCTGTGATGCCAATATGATGCAGATTATGCAACAATACCAATCTGCCCTAATTGGTGTATGCCAAGTTATAAGATGAATACTATCAGATATGTTGTAACTAAAGTCAGGGGAGAAGAAGTTTAGTTCATCATGGGGTCATCAGATTTATTTCCAACACCTACAGGAAAAACCCAACTCAGTGAGAAGTAGCAGCACCACCAGACTCTACAAAGATGAGGAAATAATTACTGATGGCAAAAAAAAAAATGTGATGCAGTTTCTTCCCAACTGTCAGGAAGGACTTGCACTTGGTTTCAGTGCTAGCCTGGACCATTTAACGTAATTAGAAGGAAATATCTTTATTTATTGGGGAAAAAACCCCACAAACAATAGTAATATGAGAATTCAAGAAAATAGAAACCTAACACTAGACTCTTTCGTGTAGGAATAAAAAGTTACAAAAGTAAAAGGAGGTTTTTAGTGCCAAAATCTAGGAGTTAAAGTTATACTTTGAGATAGACATTTTGGCAAATATCCAGAACCACTGACATTTTCCTTGAAGCTCATGTACATGTCTAACTTGATTTAACTTGAAGATATACCCAAAGCCTTTTTCAAATTTAATCAATGTGACATAGATGGAGGGGAAATCACATTAAAACACAGGATTAATTTCATATTAGGCCTTGAGTTTTGTTTTTTTTAAAACCTTTTTTCTGTAGTTCATATCAGAATTACACCCAAAGTGAGCAGCCATCCAATTTCTTTAAAATAATGAAATAACATAATTATGTCAGGTGTTAGGGTAATCCATATCTACAGTACGTCATGCACGTTCTGTGCTTATGTCAACCCATTTCTTCATCCAGTCAGGCCCTGCTGTTCTGTGTTGAACTATCCATCTGAAATGTGTGAGAAACACTTATATGTCAAGTTCAGCGGTGGGGAGAGAATCTACCTGACAACAAATTAATGAAAATGTCACTGACTTGCACCTCCATTTCTTATTTTCAAGAATGCTCCACTGAGCACATTAACATAGAGGCTGAGACGCTTTCACTCGTCTCTTTAACCCCCCTGATTCAGGATTTTTTCATTCCTATTTCTCTCTCTTCTAATTATTGCATGCATGTCAGTGCTCCCTGTTTGAACCCTGCACACCTGTTTGATTAAAAGGTATAGCAGGGTCTGTGTAACACTTTGAATGATCTTTTACTCTATCTTGACATAGCAAAGCCATGACCCTGTGAAGCCAGGGACGGCGGGTTAATGGGAGCCTTGACAGCCAAGCCATTCCATCAGCAGTGGTAGTCTGCCGAAAAGGTCAACTTCCAGCCCATACGGCCAACCAGACGGAAATGTCAATGTTGGAGAGGGGGAAGTAAGGGAGGACCTTTCTGTTGAAAATGAGGTGAATGTATATTTCATATCTGTGCTGAGTTAAAGTTGAATTATTCCAGTGATAATAGTTTTCAAAATCACATATACAAACAAAAGTATAAGCATGGTGGTTCAGAGGATAAGCCATGGCCTTTTCTGTCTGGAGTTGGAACCACAATGGAAATGTCATTCAACTCACTGTGCATTTACCCTGAAGCTATCAGAATCAACAGTCACAGGGAGACCATTCATTTCCTCTTTTGTTTTTTTTAAGGCTAGCTCAGAGTGTGTGAACCCTCACACACATTCATATCTCTTGACTGATGTGACCACATTTGATTAAAAACTTTGTAAACAGATTCTGTGGCCTTTAAACGTTGTGTTTGTTGATTGTTTTTTCTAATAAATCTGTTATTGTGATTTGCAGAGCACCAAATAAGTCAAATGGACATTTATAAAAAGCAAAAAATTCACCTTTTTTTAGAAAGATTTGTGGTGAATCCAGAAACAATGTTCGAGCTGGTCACTAATCAGTTACATATTTCTACTTCCCAATGTTTGCTTGATTGCTTTTATTTGGTTGATAAAATAGTTTCCATAATTCTGCAGTAATATCATTACAGTAATATTTTATGGCCCCAATAATTGTGAGGTGAAAATCTGAAATCACAATGGTGATTGTTCATATTGTATCAACTGGGGAGCCTGACTGGTCCAAACCTGCTGAAACAGAACTGAGACAGAAGCTCTGCAGGCATCGTCTTTACCACATGGTTTGGTTTTTTGAACTTTTTCCCCGCCATTGACAAGATATCCCGTCAATGCTTGCTTTCACTGCAATTTGACAGGTGGTGCTGTGGTTTACCTTGTGGAGCAGAAAAGCAATCCTGACTTGATCAACAAGACAAGAAGCTCCATGAAGAATGGAAAAAAGACAGGTGCAGTTAGAGATGAGAGGGGTGAAGTACTTCTAAATCAGCAAAAAATCCGACTCAGACCATACGTTGTCATGGGGACTGCACCAGAGCCTATTAATAGCTGTATTAATATTCATATGGAACAAAGCAGAGGGCTCCACTGATACTTATTTATTAATGTAACAACTTCAACTGAGCTGTCATCATCCTTTGTCTGAACAGGATGGGATGCAGCACAGATAAATAGATATTAAAATCATATGTCACATGTCAGTGCTATCATATTAGTATCCTATTGATGTTCTGCTTAGAAATGGCAAAAATACTTATTTCTTTGAAAAAAATGTGATTTTCTCAGCTTTTCAGTGTTGTTTCGTTCCAGACGATTTGTTCATCAGAACCAAATCTTTTAAGTGAACGTACTGAAACGAATCACTCCCTCAATTGATTCGTTCATTTCCCACTTCAGTTGAGCAGCGCAGCTGTTATAGCGCACCTGAATCACTTGGTAAACAAATAACACATTGAACTACACTCTCTGGAATCATTTTTGTTGGACAAAAATAACTTTTTTTTTTTTTTTTTTTTTTACTGCTAAATTGCCACTACAACAACTTACATACAATAGGACACAGCATGTAACAAGTAGTGCATAAAACCCACAGCATCCTATCATTGCAGCAGTTTGCAAGGAAACGGTGCATGTTCAGTGTGAATTCTTCTAAATGTTAAGTGAACGAATCACTCACTGAGCCCAATTTACTGAGCAGACATGATAAATAGCATACCATAGTACAGTACACTTAAAACATCATGACTTATAAACAAGTCCATTTTTACGAATCTATTTGTCAAAGCAACACAGCCAAACACTCTCATCTCCCGGTCACAGAAGCTATGAATTGAACTGAATCCTGAACCGTTCAGCTGTGTATCAGTTCAGGAGATCGGAGTTGCAGACTCCTCCCGCCAAGCGCTGAATGATTCGGTGATGCGGTAAACGAATCTTTTGAACGGATCTTTTTAGTGAATTGATTCTATTGATTTAGTACATCTAAATGAACTGCCATGCCCATCACTACAGCTTTTTGCCCGGAATGTGGTGATTTTTGAAGAAAACAACCTATTTTATAATTTTATACTTAATACTGATAAAAATAAATAAATAAAAATATAGGAACAAAGTAGAATGAATTGGGCTTTTGCTGATAAAATTAAAGCTTTGTACACCTTGATTCCTTCATAAATCACAAAAATATTTGACAACTTGAAAAATTCACCAAATGTGGTCAAAAAGGCTGGCGGTGGTTCAGAACTTTTTTATAGAATATTGGCAGGGATTGGGTTAAGAGAGTCTTATAATACAGATGTGTATGTTTGTAGACTTTCAATATAGAATTGATGTTTAACCTTTGCAGTAAGACAGCCCACTAATTTTAGCTCTGTTTGAAAACATAACATATACTAGTTTGTCTTTTTGCAGCACGGATTAACACAGGACTTTCTTCTGCTGTGGACTGTACCAACATGAGGTATCTGTGTATGTGTTAGTCTGAGAAAGGGTGTGACATCAGGAAGCTCACAATAGTACCATCCAAGTGTCTTCCTCACAAGCCACTTCTGCGTTGATGCAGTATGTTTGCACCTACTGAGGTAGCTTTTTGGCTGCACATCACAAATGGGGAGAAAACAAAGACATGTTTGTTCAGTCTACGCACAATCTATGAATCAAAGATGCTGAATTTGCTTTTAAACCTCAGGCACGTGTTGTCACTACTAACTTTCCCTTATAACTGCATGATATAATGTTAAGGTACATTTTTGACAAAGGTCAATATCTAGAATATTAAAAAGTGCTACTCTAATCCAGTTTTCTTGATGAAAATTAATTACCTGACAGACAGCACCACTTATTGAAGCAACAATGAGGGATTCAGCTCAACCGCATGACTTTTCCAGTCTTGACAAAGACATAAAATAAGATAATGTATTCATCCCTTGGTGGAGAAATTTTCTGTTTTAATGGCAGCAAAGGATCAGCACAGCAAACATAAAATAAGTACGCTTATCATGCACACAGTGAACTATGGAGCCCCTAAAGGGACATGGAGGGAAAAAAAAATGAAACTTTCACATAATTGTTTCACGTGTGCATGCGAAACAATCACATGCACACAAAGTTTCTTTTTTTCCCCTCCATGTCCCTTTAGGGGTGCCGTAGTGCACCGATAATTATTAAAAAAAAAAAGAGGACAAATGTAAGCAGCTATGACAACAAATCAAACAGTTCTACACAGCTAACAAAAAAGAATTAGACATGTAGTTTCTGCACATAATTTGAGTTCCTGAGGAAAATGTGGGTATTTGCAATTGTAAAAAAAAAATATTGCACAACTGAGAATATGAAAGACATCATGACATGAGTACAAAATTGTTAATTTGGAGCATACTTAGGATGAATGGTCCTGATTTGGTAAAATTTGTTTAAGATTTTCCAAACACTTCCACTATCACTACACACAAGAGAATGCACATGCATCTGTGTTCTTCCCTATACTGGTCGTGAAGCATTGACAACATTCATCATTTTATCAGCTTTTAAAGTCGCATTTTACTCTAAAATCCATTAAACTCCTAATATTTTACATGTTTGTAAAATATGAAAATGACATGAATAGGAAATATATATCCGAGACTTTGGTCTTTCATTGTGTACACATTTTGTTTATATATGATGTATTTATTCCAAGAAATATATAAAAGTGTAAAAAGTGTGACAACAAGCCCTCGCCTCCCCTATTTATTGTTTCATTTACGGTTTCCTCTGTCCATCCATCATTTTTAATTGCTGTCAGTATGATTTTATTATCACCTATTTTACTTGTGTTGTCTTTGTTAATATGTCTTGCTATTTTCTCTCCCTGTTTTATTTCTATATTGTGAGCTTTAATGTTTAAGCACTTTGTAGTGTCTGTTTTGATCAGTGCATTATACACAATTATTATTATTATTATTATTGTCTTTTTGTCCTTGATTGTCTCAATATCAGCTCTATTCCAGATAAATTATGTGAATATTGAATCAAATATATAAGTAAGACTCTTATTAACAAGATATGGAAAAGACATTAAGTTGGAAATTGTGTCCAAATTGTTATTAGTTATGGGGAGCTGAAGTTGATTTAGATCTTAATAGTTTATCTCTAACTCAGCACACACTAATTAAAATGACATTACAGAAACTCACATATCAAAGTTCTGTACTGGCCAACAAAATCAGGACACAGATAATGTGTTAAAATAACAAATTATGACCTTGCAGGCAGTAAAACATTTTGCTGTGTTCCCACGGTGAATGAATATAAAAACTACAGTATGAAGCCTTTTCAGTATGTGTTACAAATTTATATCAATGTTATTGGTGTTAAGAGTGACTTGTTTGATCTTGAGGAGAATCAAAGACATCTTTATTCCAATCTGTTCAAACTCTATAAAGCATTAAGTGTCTTTTTTGTTGTTTGTTTGGTGCATTACTAAAACAACTCACCAAAATAAGTAACAGCCATGTATCTTGCTTCTAGACAGTAATCCTTGGGTTGTTTTGGGGCAATTGACAGACCAAAAAAAGGAAATTGTTTAAAATAAGACCCAACTGGATATCAGGATTTGATGTTTGCTTTTTGTGTGCACTGGGTCATTTAAACTGTGTGTTTCTGTAGCTCTTTAAAAGATCCCAGAGCTTAAAGATAGGTTAGACTTATGTCAAATAAAAAAACAGTTCGCTTCCTGCCATACACAACACACACTATAACATCCTGCAACGATGCAGACATTAAGACAGCAAAATAAAAGCATTATTTTATTTTTGCCAACGAATGAATCCTGGGCTCTCCCAGAAAAGTGTATCTGAGTGCGGCAATAGCCTCCTTATTGCTCTCACTGAATTTCAACAGATATAAAAGCAGCTGTTGCATCATAATCCTGTGGTGGGTATGCTGGACTGTAAAGCAGCCAATTAATGCAGTGAAACCAAATGGGATTGGAGGTTCAAAGCCTTCTCATTTTGAGAGAAAGAAAAGAGTTGCTGTTAAATTAGGGCTTCCTGTTGTACCAGCGCCTCTTATCTCACATGCTTTTTTTCCCCCCTCTCTATCCCTGTCCTTCATTGAGTGTATCCCTGGTCCCTCAAACCAGAGCACAGACCATTTTCCACATTTGCCTGGTCATGAAATTTTCATCAGCATGTATCCATTGTTAGCTCAAGGATGCATTCACATGGAGGACCCAGGGGATGTCGACTGCTGCAACTAGGATTGCTGGAAACATGGAAGGCCAGGCAAATTGTGGGACAGATGTATTGCTACCTTGGATGTCTAACTTTTAGCATCACTGCTGGCAAACCCAAAGAGCATGCAACCCACCAGCCTGAGGCCTGTACTACGAAGCTGGATTAACACATCCAGGATAACTCTGCGACAACTCGCTCAACTTCACCGGATCTCCGCGATCCCGATCAGCTGTACTACGAAGCCGGTTATCAACTTGATAACTGAATCCAGGGGTGGCCACTTCAGATCTGTGCGCGCACACGTAAAGGGGGTGGGGTCAGTGCCACCGGACCAATCTCCACAATGGAGAAGGCTGCACGTCATATTTCACAGCTGAAGAACAGAGCTTTATTTAAACAGTGAGACAGACACAGCCGCTAAAAGCCGGAGGGACTGCTGGCAAAAAAAAAATAATCGATTGTGTAAATTACATTTGTGCGTTCATAAATTTATGGCCCCCTAATATATTGTCATGCAGCGTGTGTGATAACCTCCATCATTGACCTCATTATTTAATATACAACAGCAGTGGGGAAAAGAGTACGTGGGAGCAAATAAAAATAAATCTAAAAACATCCTTTAAAGTAGTTTGTAAGTTTATTGGAAGATTTTATTTGTACATATTTCAACGCGTAAACAGTGATTTCCTCACACTGCCTTTTTTTTTCTCCATCATCTGATGGTCACGTCATCTGCAGACACATTTGGGGTTAAGAGTTTTCTAATCTGCTTCAGTAAATTCTGAATGATGACTGAAATGCCGCATGAAATTGGAACCTGGAGCTTGGGAAATATTAGTGCATTGCTTAGACTTCATACTACCTGAATACTGAGGCCGTTCAAGGAAAACCTGTAACGTTTATAGAGAACGTCATCAGGTAAATCAAATGGATTTGAACGATCATGAATATAACGCTCTCGGCGAAGCGCTCCTCTCACTATCCGTGCAACGATGTCCCCGGGATCCGGCAAAAGTGGGCAAGCCATTTTCCAAGAGATCCGATTGGTCATTGGGCGGTCTTTTATACCTGCTGAGATCTTATCCTGAAACATAACCTGCTCCGGAGCAGGTTTGGCGTTCCGCGTAAGTTACCGGGGCAACGGACCCGGATAAAAAGAGATCCACCTTCGTAGTACAGAAAACCCAGAAGTTATCCAGAAGTTATCTCGCTAAGACCAAATCCAGCTTCGTAGTACAGGCCTCTGGCATAGCTGCTGATCCACTGAGGAACGCATAAAAGATAAATTTAACTCAAAGCATCTTGGAAACACTACTCTCCCACCTTTCAAAGTGTCTTTTAGGACCTTTGAGTTAAAACATCTCTGTCACTGAGGATACAGGCTTTACCAATAATTCACAGTACAGATGGAAAAGATCCCTCTCTAAGGGGCTGATTTTGTCTAGCAATCACAACATTTCAATCAATGTTCAGCAAGCCGCAGGGACTGTCCTCTGATTTCTTTAATTGCTTCTAGCTTTCAGCCTCCCTTCTCAATGGAAATTTCCAATTTAAGACCATTTCATTTTATTTGATTTTTTTTTTCTTTCCACTCCCTTCGTTCTCATTCTCTGTAGAGCAGCGAGCCGTTCTGTTCAGCACAGCAGCTAAATTGCAAGCATTAATCATTTAAGAGTCATTATCAGCATTTTAAAGGTAAAAATCCAAGCAAATTGTTTTTCATTTGGCCTGCATTTAATAGGATTGTTTCTTGTAATTTGCAACCTTGGAGCATTTAGTACAAACAATTAAGAGCAAATTGGTAAGTCTGCTCATCCGTTCAAAATCCCTATTATATTAAATCTTTAATAAAGAATCACCTCACATTAAGGAGGTATACAATCTCAGTGGAAAGCTGCATGCTGTTTCATTTATTTTGATAAATTAGAAATGTAATAGTTAGCTAAATACTTATCTGCTTTCTAATATCTCTGTAGGTTATTCACACTCTTCATACTGCTAATGTAAGACTCATGCACTCATAGCCTCATTATACTGGAGTGTTTTTTCAAGTTACAATAAGTATATTCTCCAGCGTCATCCTTTCCGCTGTCTCTTGCCTTTAAGTTACTTTGTTCTCTAGAAGCAAAATGCTAATTCTGAGCAGTTTTAGATATAGCCAAAAACTGAAGCCAAGATAAAAGGAAACTTTAGTCTCAGTAGCAATGGTGATTTTGGTCTGGAAATCCTGGTGGGACCATGCAGGGAAATCTCATAATGTAATCCAGAAATATCAGATATTACTCTCATACCCTCATACCCTACAACAAAAACACAGCAGCAAGTGAGAGAGGGGACCACGGCACCTTTGACGACAAAACTGCTGCCGAATAACGCCATTACACAAACAATGTCAATCTGGCAACATACTGTATATTATCATACCAATAGCGCCAACAAATGGCAGTGTTCAAGATCTCACAATATCAAATACTCAAGATCCAAACAATGTGTAATAAAAGCACCAAAGCGTGAACAGCGCACACCCAATACACAGCAATCAATATACAAAGCCACCACACAATATACCACAGCCAATAGCCATTTCAGCACCAAAGACAGGAGAACAGCTCCTGTGGGGAGCCCATGTGTGGTTGTGTCCACCACACGCATACCTATCGCCAGTTACGCATTACATAAATTCCACCTTTATTCAAACAATAAGTAAAGTACATTATAATTTCCACGTAGAATAATAGACTCACTGATGTGGATCATTTTTTGAAAAGGAATGACGCTCTGCGGTCCTTCATATGTTCAAACTTCTCTGTGACTTTGCTGTTAAAGTCCAGCGGTCCATGGATAAGTTCAGTTTGCTATGTTGTGTTACCACGGTAGCCAAGCTAGCGAGACCTGTGCAGTTCCCACTCTTTCTTCTAATCAGCCAATAAGAAGCGCACTGGGGCCCTGAACTTTAGGCCACATTGACATTGCGTTACTGTGCACTGCACACGCACATGCACGTGCAGCCGTTCGCCATCTCGACTGTGCCCCACCGAGCAGAAACAGAGGCACAATGAAGTATTTGCACACAACAGCACTACAGGAAGTAAGGAAATTGCGTTCATCAAATAGAAATTGCAGACATCTCAGTGTGGACAACGTTGAATTTTTATGAACTTATGCTCAACGACATTTTTGACACAGAAAAAAAGAGAAAAATCCTCTCCTGCACAGCAGCAACCTCTGGTGGGGCCAGCCCCTAATGTAAAGACGACATTGTCAGTAGTATCTTATAAACTGCAAATTCAAAGTGCAATACTTTTGCCTCTGTTGCATCTCTGATGTTACTCTCTCCAAAATCTGTTGCATTGTGTGGCAGGTCAGAACAGAACAGCATATTATTCCACTTAAAACATGTCACCAGCACTGTATCCTCTCAATGTGCTGTAATGCTATTTTTTTTTTTCGATTGACCTTTATCTAATCATCTGGAACAAAGTACTCCTTCTATCATCTAAAAATAGGTATGGTTTTACCTTTGTCAGCTTTCTTTTTGTCTAAGAGTATGGCATCTGGAGTGGAGTGTTCTTCTCTGCCACATGAACACATTCAGTGCTTGTGTTCCTCTACACTCTATACTGTGCCTTCATTTATTGCAAGAGTATGCAGTTTTCTTGGGAGGAAGCATATTAAAAGCTTCAGCCCTTCTCTGCTCCTTCCATGAAGATTCGCAGATGGATATATGCACTTCCTACTTCATACATAACACAAGGGGCAGATCCAGTGAGTGGCAAGGGGTAGCGATGACCCCATGAAGGTGGCCGTGATAGCAAAGGGAACCCTTATTATTCTGTTCTCTGGACTTAACCTGAGCCGGTCAGTAGTTACATAAAGCACTTGTAGTGGACATGGTTTGATGGTGGCACTTGATCAGTCAAACTACGTTTTAGCTTGTTTGGCAGCTTCCAGTTGCTCCACTCTCCCTCAATACTGGACCTGTTTCAGAAACTGTTCTCCCCATCAGTCAAGCACACACAACCTCACATAACAATAGGGCCCAGGTTAAAAAAAAAAAACTTTACGTTTCCCTTAAAGGATTCTAGACAAGAAGACTGATTGTTAGCACTATGTTGCATTAAATTCAAAAGCAGAACAACAAGGAAAAGAAGGACTCTCGAACCTGTTGGATACTTTAATGTAAAGAAAAGTATGATATGATATCACATGCATACAGACACTTATTGCCACCCCTGCAAAGGTCAGTGCTGCACCCCAGTCCAAAGGCCCTGGCTCTGCTCCTGTCTGGCATATATTACTGCAACCTGATTTATGGTTCTAGGCCGGATTTACCAAGTATCATATACCTTATGAACAAAGCCTGATGTGTCTCTCCTCTTCAAACATCAATGCAGACCACAAGCCCTGTGATGGATCCACTTGGTGGCTGGCATTTCTGCTTTCTGCCATCTTCTGTCTTAGCAACCATCAGGTCCATCTCCTACAACATCTCCCCTTTCTTCTTCTATGGAATAAAAAAAGAGACCATAGCGACTATACACGTGTCACTTACTCTTACTTGATTTCACTGCCTTTGAATGTGCAGTGGCAGCTGTATGTAGATGCACCACCACCTGTGGTTTGTGCCTATCAGCAGTTTATAAGCAGAAGTTTAACAAGAACTCAATGACTGTGACACCCAAACATGGGGGACACAGTTGGCTGCCTTCTGTATCTGCACTCTGTGACCACTCACCAAATGCTACAGTGCTGAGGGGAAGAGATAAGGTGTGTGTGTGTGTGTGTGTGTGTGTGTGTGTGTGTGTGTGTGTGTGTGTGTGTGTGTGTGTGTGTGTGTGTGTGTGTGTGTGTGTGTGTGTGAGGAAGAGAGAAAGAGAGACACGGAGAGATAGAGGGAGTGAGCATTTACGTAAATGTGCGTGACACTGCGCAGAACTTAATAGATTTTGCGTGACCACAGTGCCCGCGGAGCAAAACTGACGGAGATTAAAACTGAGTGGCCCACTGCCACCAAACCACCAACACAGCAAAGCAGTCGGCAACACACACACACACACACACACACACACACACACACACACACAAATGTATGCATATTCCATGTTGACAGGCTAAGGAAGTGTTCGTAAATCTTAATCCTTTCCTCTGCTTTCCTTCTTCCTTGTTTGCGTGGAAAGTTGCAATGTCAGAGAAGGGCCAAACATGCTATGGATCACTTCTAATAGGACGGCTGAGGTCACTGTGCTGCCAAATCAGCCCGAAGGCACATCAGGGGGACAGAGTGAAAGGGACGCTGAGGGAGAAAAGTCTTTCAGCAAGAACATGGCAGCCTGTGGTCTCATTACATGTAGTGTGATTGTTGAGCATGTGTGAGAGCACGTCCTCAGACATGTTGAAAGTGTGTGAGAATAATTTTGTGTGTGTAAGCAGTGTCAAACATAAACATTTCCCTGCAACACAGTAGGAACCATTGACAGTTCAGTATTTTGTAGCCCTCTTTTTTAGACTTATGACCACCCCATGTGAGCAACAGGAAAGGATGATAAATATATAAACACCTATTTCACTTCAAAGATGTATTTCCAATTTCCCCCTTTTTTTATGTACCACTTGGCTGGGTGATAGGAATTCAGGTGCACCTCTTTTCACTGTGTTTTGACTATTTGTTTCATTGTGCTAAGCTGTGAAAGATCAAAATACTTCAGGTCTCAAGTATCAGTCATTTCTAATGAGGGTAAAATTGCCCTTTGGAGAGGTGGTTCCATTAGTGTCCTCCTGAAACTGACTTCACAAGCAGAAGAGACCCTTCAGAATCTAAGATGGCGGTAGTGGCAGTGGGTGGTTTGGAAGGCTCCACTCACCTGCAAATATTTTTTAACATCTCTGCCCTGTGGACAGGTGTTGAAAACTAGCACTTGTGCTATACACACTCAAGCAATGCATCTCGTTCATCCAATGTAACTTTGTAATGTCCATGTCAAATAAATAAAACATAACATAACATAACATAACATAACATAACATAACATAACATAACATAACATAACCATTTCCCTGGTGCTGTGATCTTCTTGTGATTTCATGGTCAGGGTGTAAGGCCTATATTTAGTTGTTATGTGTTAGTGCACATTCTGGGTTGTAATTTTACTAAAACACTGGAAAAATGCTGAATTATTATAACCACACTGCTCCCTCATTGACAAGCTACTACAAAGGCACTGGATAACACAAATATAGAGTGACAAGT